TGAATAATTTCATGATGAAGACATGGAATTTTGTCAAATTTCCAGATATGTACTACCACGATAAAGGTTACTTCCTCCTCAAATTCAACTCACACGCAGACATGAATGCAGTTATGATGAATGAAACATATACTATAAGGAATGTACCAATGTTGTTGAAGGAGTGGAGACCTGATTTCAACCTAAAGAGGGATCTATTGTGGACATTTCCTTTGTGGACTAAACTTCTTCAACTCCCTCTGCATCTATGGGGGGGAAAAAAGTTAAGTAAAATTAGCAGTACAATTGGAGTTCCCTTGGTCACAAATGAAGGCACAACAAACAAATTGAGAGTATCATATGCACGTATCCTTATTGAGGTTGACATTACATAAACTTTGGTGAAGGAAGTTTCTATCAAAGATTGTGAAGGAAAGAAAATAACACAAACTGTGGAATATGAGTGAAAGCCTCTCTGTTGTGAGAAGTTTCAAAAGATGGGGCATCAATGCAAAGTTGGTGTGAAACAAAAATAATGGAAACCAAAGACAAAACCACCTGAAATCATCAAAGTAACTACCCCTACAGTCTTAACTCCAAAGGAAGATCCAAAGAAGCATGTTGAAAAAGATAAGGGGGATAACTAGATAATGGTGAGTAAGGCCACAAGATATAAAGGTAAGAGAATATCTTATGTTGGCTCAACATCTGAAGTTAATTGTGTCAATGGTTTTGAGGCATTAGGGGTTTTAAATGAACCACTCGTGGCCTTTGATAGGGGACCATGTTAGTATTTTGGAACGTTAGGGGGCTGAATAAGGCAGGTAAACTTAGGGAGATTAACTTTCGTCTTCTAAATTTGAAACTTGAGATAACAATTTTGATAGAGACAATAGTTAAGCTATCTAAAGCTAAAATGACTAGAGAGAAGCTTAACCTTAATGGAAAATATATGGATAATTACAAGCATAATGACAATGGTAGGATATGGATTTAATGGGACAATACTAAAATGGATATTAGGCATGTTAGAAGCACTTACCAACTTATTCATTGTGGCATTTATGATAATTCTGGAGGGCTTAAATATTGGTTAAAAACTATCTATGCCCATAATCAGTTGGAATATAGAAGGATTCTTTGGAAGGACATTGAGAACCTGCACAGTAACCAACAAGGGCTTTGGTGTGAGATTGGAGATTTTAACAATGTGGAAAATGCTCAGGACAGGATTGGTGGTAGGATGGTGACTGGGGCAGAGCATATTGATTTGCGCGCGCGCACACACACACACAACACACACACACACACACACACACACCGAACGAACAAAGCTTAGTATCAGTCATTACTTGCCAATGGTAGATAGGATTGTAGGTAGAGTGGAGCATTGGACTACCAAGTTGCTTAGCATAACAGGCAGAACTCAATTGGTGAAAAGCATATCTCTTGCCATATCCCAATACAGGAGCATTACTTTCCCATGGAAATTAAGTCCATTTGTAGTTCTTTCATCTAGACTGGAAGCTTTGAGATCAACAGGAAGAGCCCTGTGGCTTGGAAGAAGACTTGTGGTCCAATTAATCAAGGAGGGTTCAGTGTGATAAACTTGAATATCTGGAATAATGTGGCTTTGTTGAAGTTCCTGTGGAACATTTATAGGAAAACTGACAATATATGGGTCAAATGGGTTCATGTGTATTACCTTAAAGGTAAGGAAGTAATGTCTGCTAACACTAGTATGACCAACTCATGGATCATGAGGAACATAATGAATAAGAGAGCATATATAAACCAGATGTAGCTACTGTGGAATGACATGTTAAATAGGCATAAATTATGTATGAGGAAAGTATATATGAAGCTAATTGATGACCATACAAGAGTTGAGTGGAGTCACATCCTGAGACACAATTATGCGCAGCCTAGTGCTATCGTAACCTTGTAGTTAGCCTGCCACAGACGGTTGCCCATAAAAGCAAGAGTGGTGATACTTGGCATTGTACAAAATAGTCAATGTTGCCTTTATTGTGATGCTGATGAATTAGTATATCATTTGTTGTTTGATTGTAGGATTACATGTGGAATTCATAATGATGTGCTCAGTCGGCTGGAAATACAACACATGCCTTAGATTTGGATGGAGGAATTGAAGTGGTTTGCGAGCCACACCTAAGGGAAGAATTGGAAAGCCATGCTTTTGAAGAATGCCATTGCTGAGACTGTATATGGTATTTGGCAATATAAGAATGATATGTGTTTTGAAAACAAAATAGATGATACAAATTGAACTAGAAAAATTATAGATAATATTGTATATAGAGGTTGAATGAGGCCTAAGCTAAGATTCCACATTGCTAATTTGATGATGTAGCTTAGGTTGTTCCCTTAGTTTTTTGTTTGTCTATCTTGTGGGTTGGATCCTCGCGATCGCCTTGTATATCTTTGTTTTTTAATATATATATATATATATATATATATATATATATATATATATATATATATATATATATATATATATATATATATATATATATATATATATATATATATATATATATATATATATATATCAATGGAAATAAAATAATAAGGAAGGAATTGTAAAATACTTAAAGTAAAAGCCAAAAAATAAAGCAATTGTAAATTAAATGAACCTAAAACGTAAAGCTGGAAATAAATTGAATTAAACTTCGAATGATGGAAAGATTGTTTGATCTAAGCGTACAAGGAATGCCTAAAAACACTAAGGTCTAGTAGTTCCTCGATTTGAGAAAGCTACCACTTTACAATGATGAATTTCTACTTAAAACTAAAAGCGTGGGAGAAAATATAAAGGAAGTGGGAGAAGACTGAGCATAAATTGCTGTTATTTTTCATTCATAGTCATTGCATTATTAGAGTGGAATAATTTCATTTTTTAATAGCATTCTTTTTTACTACTGCAGGTGCAGGTGCTGCTGCGGCTGCTGCAGCTGCTGATGCTGCTACTGCTACTACTACTAAGTATGTTGTGTTCTGCTGTTTCGAACGCAAATTCAAACCTCGATCAACATCAAGTATTTTATCCAAATCAAATTAAGATACTTAACTTATACTTAAACACTATTTCATTAAAGAAGAAAAGGGGGATGGTTTTGAGCCTTCGATTCCTCTCCTCAATTGTTTGGGTACGAGTTCCCTTACTCGATTAGTCAAACAATTATCGTCTTTTCAAAAAAAAGTTTTTAATTCGTTTTTAATCTGATGAATCCAAATAATCTTCACAATAACTTGAATGAAAATAAATGGTCTAGAGGCTTCTATTCCCTTCTCTAATATTTGGATACGAGTTGACTTACTCGGTTATTCAAGTATTCGTCGGTTATTAAAACACTTAACCTATACTTAAATATTATTTCATTAAAGATAAAAAATGGGGATGATCTCGAGCATTCGGTTCCTGTCCTCAATTGTTTGGGTACGAGTTCTCTTACTCGATTAGTCAAACAATTGTCATCTATCAAAAACTTATAATCTGATTCACCTTAAAATCTCTTCTTAAATAAATCAAATCAAAACGTATTTCCCTAATAACTTAGATGAAAAAGAAAATGGTATAAAGCCTTCTATTCCCTTTCCCAAATACTTGAATACAAGTTTTCTTACTAGGTCATTCGAGTATATCATCTAATTGAAAATGGAGATAGTTTGTAGTCTTCGTTCCTCTCCTAAGTTATTTGGATACAAGTTGTCTTACTTGATCATCAGAGTAATCGTCATTCAAACAAAACATTCAACATATTAACTCAACTTCTCGCCCCTGTGCAACTAAAACTATTTCTTAACAAGAAAACTGTTTAGTTCATTCTAATGTAAATACAAACCAGTGCTTAAGTCTCAGCCGAAAATAAACAAGTCAGTGTTTAACCGTTAGAATGCAATATAAACATTTGTTCGATAAAACAAACCAACAAATCGTAGCACCCCGAACTACGAAACTTTGAGTTCCTTATTCCACTTGAGGATACGTAGGAGCGAGACCTTCAATCTCGTCAAACACTCTAATAAAAACATTTTTGCAACAATTTTTTTTCCGTTTACATCTTTTATCATCCGAAGAAAACAATTAGCATAAGTTAACATTTAATCGCAAATTATAGTAAGAGGCTCCTGTTGAGTACAACGGACGTGAAGGGGTGCTAATATCATCCATTTGCGTAATCGACTTCGGAACCCGAATATGATTGCGACGACCATTTTATTTTAAAAGATTTTATCGATATTTTCCTATTTTTTTTAGTAGAATAAATAAAGTTCGATAACAACTCTATTCGAATTATTTTTTCTGCGACCATTGCGAATGATCGTACTTTTTAAATCACGGCAATAAAGTGAAATCGTTGTCATAAAAAATAGTTTTTCTAGTAGTAATAGTCCATACCTTTTATAATAGTCTTCTCAATTATACGAAAATAACATTAGATGCTCCTTACATAAAGATTATCACGAAACTTGTGCCCTTGTAGAGAACATGGCGCATAACCATAACTATCGGGAAAGCCATTGCACTCCTATAAAAAAAAAAAGGATGGTATGAAATAAGTGTTTTTGACCACATCTTGTACTAAAAAACTGAGTGTTGATGATGTAGTCCCTTCACCCCAACGTGCTGAAATCTGTGTGATACCAAAATATTAACTAATGATATCAAGAATGGAAAGGGAGATTGTAGTTATTAAGGTGATGACATGAAAAACAATAAATGATCAGTAGTAGCAATACTTATACAGCAAGTGATAAAAATTGCTTAATTCATGAGGTAGAAACTGCTGAATGGAGTCTTCATCAGTTAAGACACAAACTCTGATATTATACCCTATGCTATTATAAGTAACTCAGATAAGGTTACAAGATATTGATCTATATTGAAGCCTAATTGTGATATTTTACTCTAAATATATCTGTGCCTCTTCCTTTGTGATTCATCATCAAAAAGCAGAAAAATCCCTATGACAATTCTGTCTTTAACCACTCATTTCTTAAAGGAAGTATGAACTATAACAGCCTGCAACTTCAATTTTACCCAGCAACTGCTCCAATCCTGCATAAACACACCAATTAATTAACCTAATATAACTCTATACACAACAAATTTAAACATTCTTTCATTGAAATTAAATGTTAATACCTATATCAGGACTCTGAATATACATATCCTTAACCCTATGAGGCGATAAATTCTCAAAGGACTGAACATGAGTTATTTTCTCTTTCGGCTTCGGCGATTCAACCTCCGTATTCTCCGCCTCCGGTTCTACCTGATTTGTGGCATGAACCGATTGCTTCCGCTTCGAACGAGCTCTTCTATTCTGAAACCAATTATAAACATTAGTCTCTGATATTTGACCGTGCTGTCCAAGCTCAGTAGCTATATCTTTGATCTTCTGTTTAGATGGAGTTCCATTTCCTTCATCGAAAATCCGTTCGAGAATTTGAAGCTGGAGAGGAGTCGGAGTCCACCGCTGCCGGGATGATATCTTGTGTCCGGAACATGCCATCAGTGGATCACAGTACAGATTACCAAGCCTCAATCCAGCGAGGTCGTGTTGTGTGGTGATGGATTTGTGCATCTGAATAAGCTGATCGGAAATTGTTGTGTAGACGGAAATCTGTTGCCGGAGAAGTTCCAGTTGTTCGTCGGTCATCACTTTTACGTAGAGGCTTCCTCCGATGATAGCGTTTGATTTTGGGCAACTCTCGTGTTGTTCCGTCTCCATTTCTACTTTTTTTTTTCTTTGCAAATCAATTCGATTTCAATTGAAACGGACTTTTGTTTCGTTTGTGATTTAGAGTCTTCATTAGTCAAAACAAAAGGACCGCAGTTTCTTGCGCAATTTAGACTCTCGCTCCGCAAATCACGCCATACTTCCTCATTGCCTTTTACATTTTTACATTTTATTATTTATATAATTTTACAAGTTTATTTTTAAAAGAAAAAAATTATAAACATTATACTTTTTTTTTTTTTAAGGTCTTGGTCTCTTATATTAGATTTCTAGCCTCAATTTTCATTCCGATAATGTCTTTCTCCATTATAGCATCTTCTAGCCTCAATTTTCATTCGGATCATGTCTTTCTCCATTATAGTCTTTGGGGAGGTTTCTTCGCTATCTCTAAATTTTACTTAACACCTCACATTTTTTGTTGTTATCATAATTTTTTTTTTGTGATTTTTTATGTTTTTGAAAATTTGTATGTTTTTTAGATTTTTGAAATTTTCCGAGTTATTATTGAATTTTTGAAAACTTTCATGAGTTTTTATCAAATTTTTGGGAGATATTTTAATTTTTTTCGCACCCAGCAACCTTCTCCTCGGTGTGTGTCATTCCCTTTTCCATATGGTTGTTATCCTCATTCTCTTATTCATTTCCCTTCCTATCGCACCTCTCCTTATTGTTGATGTTGCTACCCACCTCATGCATACTTTCTTGTTTGCTTTCAATAATTTCCACAATTATTTTGCAATTGGTCCTGATTTACAAGTCTTTGGCCTTCATTTTATACTATAACTCAATCACATTCCATATAACTTTATGATCTTACCGACTGATCAGAACTTGAGGTGGGCCAGAGACAACGTATGTGATGCTGGGTGTGAGAGATGAGGAATGAGTGTACCTACAAGACACTTCGATACTAAAAAGAGAATTTGGAGAGAAGAAGACAAGTATAGAGTATGTGTGTGTTAGGATGATTATTGAATACATAACCCTCTCAAATGAGAGGGTTTTTATAGTGTTCCCAAAGCTTGGCCATTGGTCCTTATTTTTGGGGCGAGATAAATGTTTCCTAAAGAATAGGTAACTTCTAGAAACTAGTCGTTGGGACGGGAAGAGGTGCCTGAAACTAGTTGTTGCTACGGGCATAGAGCAGTAGCGGGCACAGGCGTCGTGAGTGTTTCTGGATGGTGGAATCATGTGTGACGGGCAGGAACTGCTGAGGAGAAGCAGCTGACACTAGAGGTCAACCGACCAACCTTCTCCGATAGAGGGGCAGAAAGGTAAATGCTCCCCCAAATTAGCTGGACTTAGGTGTAATACCCCAAATTTTACCCTTTCTTTTTTATTTTTATTTTAAATTCTGATTAACTTAATAAATTAACCTTTTTTTTTAAATCTTGTTTTTTTAACTAATAATAATTTAATTAAATTTTTTTATAACTTTACTAATGTTTTTTTATTAACTTTTTTTTTCTATTTAGTTTATTTATTTAAATCATTTTAAGCTCTTCTTACTAACTTTTAGGATTTAGATTAAAATTTAATTTTTTTTTTCTTTTCTTTAAGAGTAAATTTTCTTATAACCTTTTTTAAATTAATTTCTAATACATTTTTTAATCAAATTCTAATACCTTTTTTAAAATAAAAATCTAACTTCTTTTTAAAGTTAAATATTTTTTTCTAACTCCATTTTAAAATTAAATCTTTTTTCTATTACCTTTTTAAAATTAAATCTTTTTTCTAGCTTTTTTTAAAAGATAAATCCTTTTTCTAACTCTCTTTTAAAGTTAAATCTTTTTCTAACTTTTTTAAAGTTAAATCTTTTTTTCTAATTTTTTTAAAAAAATCAAATCTTTTTTCTAACCTTTTTAAAGTTAAATCTTTTTGTCTAACTTTTTTAAAGTTAAATCTTTTTGTCTAACTCTTTTTAAAAATTAAATCTTTTTTTTTCTCTAACTTCTTTTTAAAATTAAATCTTTTTTTTCTCTAACTTCTTTTTAAAATTAAATCTTTTTTTCTAACTATTTTAAAAATTAAATGTAACCTTTTTTTTATAAATTAAATCTATCCTTTTTTTTTAAAATTAAATCTAAATCTTTTTTGACACCATCCTTTTCCAAATTAAAATTCTAATTTTTTTTTAAAATTAAATTCTAATGCCATTTTATTTTCTTTTTTAAAATTAAAATTCTAAATTCCTTTTAAAATGAAATTCCAACCGTTTTAAAAATAATTCTAACACTTTTTAAACCAACATTCAAATGTTTTTTATTTTAAAATTCTAACTCATTTTTTTTAAACTTAAAACTCTAATTTTTATTTAACTTGAAACTCTAACTTTCTTTGCTAACATTTTTAAATTTAAATCCCAACATTTTTTTTTATCAAATCCAATCACAATAAATCACAGATGGAGCAAAATCAAATCAATCAGATCATATCATCATCATAAGAAAATCAGATCTAAATATCAACATCACCATCATTGAATCAAATCTGAAATCATCATAAAAATTCATTCAAATCAAATTAGAGATTGAAAAAGATTGAGATATTCAAATCAAATCTGAGATTGAAAAAGATTTAAAAACATCAAGTATAAAAGGACCCTCAGGAGCAACAAAACGGGGGATCGACAAGCATCAAAAACTCTTACAGTCTTCATCAAAATCTCGGTTTGTTTTGGTTTTTTGCAGCTGACTAAGTTCAATTGATTTTATTTTCAGTTTAAATATTCAATTGTCATATTTGTAACTGCTTATGGGATGTAATTTTGCGAGACAATTGTCGCATTTATCTTTCCGCACTTTATGTTCTGCCATTGTATGTTTATCGCGTCTTTACCAATAATTTCACATCCGAAGGTTAGGTCTAGCTTTTGGTTGCCGTGCCAATAGTCCTAAACTTCAAACCCTTTCACCATACAAACCCTAATTTTCACAAATGCCTCGCCGCAGGCAAGATTACAATTTTACCCCTAGCATTAGGTCAAAGAGCCGCCGCGCTCATTTTAGAGTTTCCCGCCGCGGAATCCCTAACCGAACCTAACCCTAATTACAACTTAACAATTCAACGTAGAGATTTGGAGTTTCTACACTCCATGTAAGCGTGTCCCTAAGATACGTTTATTCCCCATTGAAACCTTGGCCACAGTCAAGACGTTTCTAACCTCCCTTTTGAGGGGAACTACGATTACTCTGATTCCACTCCCGTAAGGATACGTAGGCACAAGATGCGATGTCTTGCCGAGTAAACTTAGAATTAACCCCTTAGGTCTCTTTTCTCACTTTTAATCCTTTGTACATATACCTTAAGAATAGATAAAGCAAAAATAGTAAACATTTGAACAAAAGGTTCCTGTAGAGTACTACAGAAGTTTAGGGTGTTAATACCTTCCCTAAATTTAACCAACCCCCGAACCCTAGATCTTTCCCCGCATCGTGTTTATGATGCAAAATAGGTTTTCCCTCTTTTGACCTTTTCCTTCGGATAAATCAAAGAGCGGTTGTGAATTGAATTGCGATTCAAACTCATTAATAGTTTGTGATCCTATTTCCACCGCAACAGAAAATGGCGACTTCACTGGGGACTTCTCTTAACTTTTGAGGGTTATCCCTAACTTATTCATATTTATTACTATCTGTGTTATTATTCATTTGCATGTATATATTTGTGCTTTGATTGTGGGACTGTTCCTTGTGCTGTGAGATAAGTCCTACGCCCGGACTAGTGACATTATTATAGGATGGGGATATATTTGATGAGGCTTATAGGGAGTGAATCCCGACCAAGCTGATTCGAGAATCACCGCTCAGTTGAGACCTTTTCGAAAATGGTTCGGTTAAACGAGTAATCGTTGAAAACTTTTTCCATGGTCGATTGGAGTCTGTGATATTGAGGACCGTAGTACCTTAACACCACCTTGGCCTTATTTAGGACGTAGTGCGGGAGCTATGTGGGAGTAATCCTACAACGGCTGCTACGCGATACTACACTCAAAAGAGGTTCTCTTGAGAATATTATTCACCCCCGAGTCAATCGGAAGGTTGATAATATCCGAAAGATGGGCTGATGACTTTGGGCACTTTTTAGAACCTTGTTCTGCAGGTACAATTAACCTAGAGTACACTCCTTTTGGGATGGGTAGACCTTGACTCCGCTCACGTTCCTTTAACCTAGGACTTTGTGTGTTTTCATGCATTGCATCCATGAAGCATCTCATTGCATTGTATTTCATGGAGTTCAAATATCATTTATGGATATCGCGGGATACCATAAATAAAAAAAAATAAAATGAAAAAACAAGAAAAAGATTTCCTTGGTACCCCACGACATTCGTAAATGTTTGAATTCCATGAAATCTTCATTTGCATTCACATTTTAGCATCATACTTTTGCATTGCATGTGTCTCCCGATTTCTCATACTCGGTTCTCTCACCCTCCAGTTTTGTCACCCTGAGTTCTCTGCATCAATACGACCCTTCAAAAGAATGGAAGATCAAAACCAAGAGATCAACCGTGTCGGCCATGAATTCGAAGATCTTCGAGGAAGTGTAGGGCAGATTTTGGAGATGTTACGAGCTCTTAGTGTGAAGGTGGATGCTCAGTCTACTGTTGTTTCTGAGACTACTAATACCATTATGGAACCTCAATCAGCTGTTACTGTCGAGAATGTACCTCCTCACGGTCTTCAATCCGGTTTGGTGCCTCCCAGTGCTCGACCAGTTCGACGAGCTACCCCTCCAAAGTGCAAAACTCCTAACTCCGACCATGGTAAAGGACCTACACGTTCAGAGAACCGCAAAAAGGCTACTCCTCAACCTTTACAATATCAGCAGAGTTATGTTCAAGGTTATCCGTTTCTATATGTTCAACAACCCTATGTAGCTACTGTTGCACCTCCTTTCGATCAGCAGTTTCCTACATGCCAGCCTATACAGTCAGCTCCGGTATATCAGGCACCAGTTTATCAACAACCTTCCGATTATTCGCCTAT